TATTTTTACGGAGGCTAAGAGACTACAAACTACAAAAACTTTCCAAGCCTCAGGAAAAATAAAATATACTGAAACTCGGCTCATTCTCAACCGTTTTCAGTGATTTTTAGCTCAATTTTCAGCAAAATTTCTGGAAAATTTTGTAGTTTGTAGTATGCTAAGCCTCAGTAAATTTTTTTCAGGTCGTCGTCACCCGCTGGTACGGAGGGATCCACTTGGGACCAGATCGCTTCCGGCACATCAATAATTTAACACGACAAATTTTATCGGATAATAATTATGGAGCAAAAAAGTAATTGATTGATCAACTTTTTTTCAATCCGTGCTCTAATGATAATAAATTGTTTGAAAAAAATAGTTCATTAGAGCGCATTTGCACCTTTTATCGCATTTTTCTCACAATTTCACCCATTTTCTTGTCCGATCTTACGTGTATTTCAAAATAGGAATTTTCCTGAAATTTTTTTTGAAAAATTGGCTGTAATTTTTTTGTAAACTTTAAAAACAAATTATTTTCTAAAATAAAAATGCGCTATTTGATAGAGCTTGGCTCCCCAAATAGCATCTATTATACGGTATTCTGTTGCTCACACATTATAATTGCGTTTGCTATTTTTATGGTAAGCGTAATTGACCAATTAAAAATTAATTCCCAAAATTTCAGATTCTAGACATGACTTTACAACTATTCTCGCTGTTCTTCGAGCTTTTCGTGATTTTTGTAGGTTTTTCGCATTGGAGCAAACTTGCTGAGCCGAGAAATTTGAATTTTTTGCAGTATCGAGACGTTCCCGATCAGATTTGGGCGATTTTTCATGGGATTTCATTGGTTTCGATGGTTTCGGGGTTTTTCGCAATTTTTGTAATTTTTAGTTTTTTTTTTTAAATTATTGATTTTTCGAAAAAAATGAAGTTTCGAAAAAAAACTTTTTTTTTTCGAAATTTTGGATTTTTCAAATGTTTGAAACAAAACTAATTTTTTCAGAAAATTGCTGAAACTCGACAAAAATTGAATAAAAAATTCAAAATTTCAAAATTTTGATTTTCCAGGATTCTCCCCCAGCGATAATCTTTTTTGCATGTCGTGTGGTCCTTATTCTATGTGTAACCATTGCTAGATTCATGTAAATTTTTGAATTTTCAGACTACAAACTACAAAAATTTTCCAGAATCTCCATTCAAGAATTCTCGTCTTCAGAAGAGCCAACACTTCAGGAGCTTTCAAACCTTTTTCAGATAATTCCAGTCATTTTGTACACAATTGGAGCATTTTTATCGATTAAATTGTTTTCGTTTTTTACTGGAAGATATAGGTAAATTTGAAAAATTAAGGAAAAATAAAATTTGAAAAACATTTTTTTTTGGAATTTTATTATTTGGAAAATGATTTTTCCAGAGGATACTACGATGTAGATGAAGACCTACGGCTGGAAATCAAGAGGTAAAGCTGGTGATAGCCTAGAATTACAAAAACTAAAACTTCAAATGTTTTCCCAAAAAAATCAAAATTTTAGGATTTTCTACAACTTTTCAAAGCTTTTAAACACAAAATTCAAATTTCCCGTCAAAAACTTCCCTAGATAGCCTTTTTCTGCGTCTGTAACTCTCAATTTTCGGTTTTTGGGTTACTGTAGCCTGGATTCTGTGCACATACCTTAAGCAAAACACCGAACCGTACGACAAAGTGCACAAAAGTGCCAAAAAAAGAGGTTTTCAGGGGGAAATACGCGGGAAAATCGAATTTCGTATTGAAATATCTCTAAAATGTCAATTAATTTCGAAAAATTTTTTTTTTTTGAAAACATTTTTATTCCAGAGCTTTCACTGAATTCGAAGCGACTATCGATGAGGCACCAGTCAAGGAGGACTAAATATTTTTTGATCAATTTATTCTTTTTTTGAATAAATTCTTTTTTTTTCTTTTTTTTTCAAATTTGGAAATATTAAAAAATCAGGTCATGACCTAAAAAAATTAGGTCATGACCTTGAAAAAAATCCTAGAAAAAAGTAGGTCGTGACTTAGAAAAAACTAGGTCATGACCCAAAAAAAATTAGGTCATGACCTAGAACAGAATCGATGCTACAGTAACCCGAAAACTCAAAATTGAGAGTTAGAGACGCAAAAAAAGTTTTCCAGAGTAGTTTTTGATGAGAAATTCGAATTTTGTAATCAAAAACTTTAAAAAGTTTTAGAAAACCCGAAATTCTGATTTTTTTCAAAAATTTTACGAAATTCCCTCTATTTCTTCCCAGCCTATTTTGGAAAAAAAGAAACAAAAAACCTATTTTTTCTCATATTTTTTTGGTTTTTTACACTTCTTTATGTTTGTTTTCAATTATTTTTTCTTTTTTTGCCCACGACTTTTTTTTGCTCGGCCTACTCATTTTTTATCCCCCTAGTTATATGTTTTTTTGGATAAAAAATATATGAATCAGAAAAACAAAATAATGACAGGAATACATTTTTTTGGATTTATGGAAATTTTCTTTATGAAAATTCTTCAAAAAAAAGTTTTAAATTAAAATTTTTTGAATTCTTAAAATTTGAACTCTCCAGTTTTTCAGTTTCTTAAATTCCTAGTTTTCTACAATTTTTGGAATTTTCAGAAGATTCGGAATATTGAAATTTATTTGAAAAAAATATTTTTTTGAGTTTTTGAGCTTCTGAAATTTTTTTCACTGACTACAAACTACAAAAATTATTCCAAAATAGTTGATATCATGTTTTTTTTTCATCCCACCACACCTGCAAATCCGGATTTTCTAATTTCCGGCTTTTTGGATTTTTCCCCTTTTTTCCTTTTTTTCTTTTCTTTTTCCAGAGAAACAGGTGCCAAAAATGAGTCATTTTGTAGGATTTTGCATTTTCATTTTTTCTAGAAAGTTCTGAAAAATTAATTCCAAAAAAAAATCAGTAAATCACAGAATTTGAGATATCGTAAACACTCTAATAGAACGCCACCCGAGTCGTCAAAGTGGAGCCCATTTCTCTCATTTTTTGTGAGAGATATCAAAAAGTTGTCAACTGATAAAATATTTATGATGATATCAGCTACATTTTATCAGTTGACCACATTTTGATATCTTTCAAAAAAAGTGAGATATATACGCTTAAAGGGACAGCCCCCCTCTCCCTCTTTACCTCTTCCACTCGGGAGGTCCGATTACTTTGAGCCTAAATATCTTATTTCTTTTGAAAGATATCAAAAAGTTGTCAACTAATAAAATGTTTATCATAATATCAGCAACATCTTATCAGTTGACCACATTTTGATATCTCTCACAGAAAATGAGATACATAGGCTCAAATTTGACGAATTGGATGACGTTCTATTAGAGTGTTTACGGCATCTCAATTTACCAAAAAATAAATTCATTGTTTTGTTCTGAAAATCTGGAACTTTGAAAAATTTTGATTCTGTAAAATTCAAAAAGTCTGGTAAATCTTAAATCTGAAACCCCCAAAATTTCGAAAATTGCAATTTCCCAAAAAATCTCAAAATTCTAAGAAATCACAATTTTTTCAAGTGTCAAGCCATTCTTCTTCTTTTTCCCTAAAAAAAATATTACATTTTTCTTCTTTTTATTCAAAATTGAGAATTTGGAAATTGAATTTTTTGGTTCAAAACACATTTGACATCAAAAATCAAAAATACTAAAACATGTAAGATTAGTTTCTAAAAAGAATAGAAGATAACAAAATTATTCATTTAAGCAAATTTATACAAAAAAGTTTTTCTTCTTCCTCTTTTTTCCCTCCTAATCGCTTTCCGAAACACACGACAATTATCCCCACGTCTTCTACTTGTTCTTCTTCTTTTTTTTTAGGATTTGTATTCCTGGATTTACGGATTTCATTGATTTTTCTATATTTTTCCCCATAGCATTTCTAATTTTCAAGCTTAAATTTTCATTTTCATACCAAAAGAACAAATTTTATGATAATTTAAAAGTTCAGGATTTTCTAGAATGTAAATTGTCTGGATTTTTTGTAGTTCAATGAAGCTCCATATAGCGCAAACACTCTAATACAACGCTGATAAACATTTTATCAGTTGACATCTTTTTGATATCTTTCAAAACAAGTGAGATATTTATATATATATATATATATATATATATACTCTCAAAGTGGATTGTCTATTAGAGTGTTCACGGTACTCTGAACGTCAATGTTAATCTCTAGAATATGAATTTTATTATCAAAGTTTTTCATCTTTTAAGACCCGCTCTCTTCAAAGAGACAATCGCTCCAAAATCCTTGTTCCTTTTGAAACATAAGTTTCCACT